AGTGGACTATCAACATGATCACATGTATAACAGAAGGAGGCCAATGAAGATCATCATCGTCATCATCATCATACCGTCTCCTCTTTGGACACCTTTTGTTACCATTAATAACTTAATGTTAACAATTCCCTACCTTATATGAATCATTTTATTGAATGTTTTTCTTTAACACTACACATGTTTATACATATTTGCTTATAGTACAATAATAACATTACATGTATGTTTCACTAGAATCCGTAACTTTGATTGGCTGATAACAATCGTAAGGCACTCCCATTTCCGTATAAAATACAACAACTATGACTGCACGTGCTATCCGTGATAATGTTATAACAATGCATGAAAAGCTTGATATAACTATATTAATTCATGGTTGGTTCATAGAAATGTAATTATAAGAAATGAATGCTTCTTTTTATAGTTTTATAGGTTGAAAAAGTTGATTGTGTGCATAGTTTTAGAACAAAATGTGGTTTCGGTCTATGCATTTTGCACACCAATAAAATCATAAAAAGAAGCATTCAATTATCAATTGATAGTCAACTTTCCTGTTGATAGAAACACGTGCCTTTGTTAAAAAAGTAGTTTAGTAGGGCAAGGTAAAAAGTAAATGGGAGGGATTTGTCAAATGTATTTACCATTTATCTCTCCATGAATCACCGCAATCATGATAGCATTAGATATAGTTTTTAAACAATGGATAAGGTACCTGAATAGATGCACAGACCTGTTTCAACATAACTAAAAATTTGTACATAATTTATTTTCCAGTGATGAAACACAACAAAACGTCCCCAAAATATACTTTTTTTTATATATTTTTTTTTCAGACATACCCTTCAGCTTTTTAAGCATGTGTATAACCATACACCAGGACCCTGCAGAATTGTTCCTGGAGAAGGTAATGTATTTATCAAATTGATACAATATATCACGATTGTTCTATTTTTAAAAACTTGCTTCAGCAAAAGGGAGGCCTACATGTAAGTACCTATGTATTTTGGTAAATAGGAGTCTTGATAGGGATCATAGACTTTGTTTTAAAACTTTGGTGCAACTTCTATTTAGGATCGACATTCATCAAATCTTTAATGAACTTCTGTCATAGGCATTAATGTGTATTAATTTTGTTTTAAGTGTTTTAGCAAGGTATGTAGAAATAGTAGTTATTTGACAATCTGGAGCAACTCCAGCATCCCTTAATTTTATCAAAATTTTGTATATCAACTAAACAAAATATGTTCAACTGCTTGAGATATGATTGTTTGGTTGACCTTGTCTGGAATTATTTTTTTTTTACTTTGAACTAATAAATAAAACTATTTTTTTTAGAAATACAATGAAACTTATGCCTGCATAGAACCCAGTCGTCTTCTAAAATATGATCGAAATTTTCTTTCCGATTATTTTGTACTCTGAAAAAGTTTTTTTTCCCAATAGCAGACAGCTTTAATAAAAATACTTCAATTTTATTATATTTGATTACAGGAATTGGATATGAGGACATGGAGACATTACCTAATGGTTTAACACTTATTACATCAGTAAGTATGGCAATGTTCTTAGTTCTTGCCCTATTGGTTTGTGTAAATCAGCACTCATGGTGAGTTAATATACATTGAGACAATTTGCAGATTATGGTAAAAGGCTAATTAACAGGAATCATTAAAAATAGTGGACTAGTCAGGGGATCACACCAACATCTGACTATTTATAAAAATTCAACACACAAAGAAATACAACTTACAGCACATGGTCCAGATAGCCTGAATTGGTATAGGAACAAAATGTAGTGGGGTAAAACCAGATTTATATAAGCACCAATCTTTATATGTATATTTAGACTATTTTGTAAAAGTAAACCACACAATAAAAACCTGCACACTCCAGCCACAAACAGGACGACCCCAAACTTGGACAAGGAAATAAAAGATGGTAGATGATTTGGAAATAAGGGTTGAAATGTGCTCGCAAAATTGGTTTTCAAAATGGAAAAAAATACCAGGTAATTGTTTGAAATAGAATTTTAAGAATTGGACTCCCAAGTGCATGAGTCTGGATCTCTTTCAGTGACAATAGTTAGTACGAGACATTGTAATTTAACTTAATTAAGAAAAAATGAAACCTCAAATTTTGTTGGTAACTAAAATGTCACAAAGTATTTGAAAATGCACAATCGAAATTGATACTTATTACTTTGAAGTTTAAAATTTAGAGAAAATTAAAGGAGAAGGTACGAGTTGGGGTCAAAAGTTTAATCTATTAATTTAAATGAGAAATTGCTATTTTATAAAAATAAGGAGATGTGGTATAATTGCCAATGAGACAACTCTTCACCAGAGACATAGAAGTTAACAACTATAGGTCACTATACGGCCTTCGACAATGAGCAAATTCCATATCGCATAGTCAGCTATGTATGAAATATTCTCTCTTCATGAATAATATTTCCGTGTTTTTCAGGGCCTTTTAATGCCAACAGCTTCTCCTACAGTTCGTGAATACCGTAAGAATCACAATGGTAAAGGAAGAATATATTTGTTTGATTTCAATCAACCAGATAAAGGCATAGAAGAATTGACAATTGTAGGAGACCAGTTTAATAAGTCTGATTTTGGTCCTCATGGCATTAGTTTATGGAAAGACAAAGGTAATTTTTGCAAACATCTAAGTAAAAAAACCTTCGCCTTTTGATCTAGTGGTAGGGTCTGATTCAATTACTTTACTTTTCAATGGTTTACCTCTAGCATTGCAGTCTAATTAAGAGACCTCAAGAATATTTGTTATGAATGTGCATTATAAAATCTTAAAAGTGTGATTTTACCAAATTGAAAATTGTCTTCGGTTTACAACTGTCACAGAAACTAACACATACATGTGTTTCTTCCGGCAGGAGTCAAAATCTCCTGATTTTTTAAGCTCTCTTCCGTCCCTCCCGTTAAGAATTTAAATCTTCCGCTTGATAGAAAAAAATTTCAATGTCAGATTTTTTTATACAATTCGCTGTTATCAATTGACAGCTGGGTGTCAAATGTGTTGGAAATTAATTTTCGAGTTACTCCCCCTGTTTTAGCTTGTTACAAATTTGTGCTCCTAATATATTATCTATCATTGAAAATAGGAATAAAATACAAATTGAAGACAAAATTATATAAGAATGTTACCTTAAGGGTCAAAACTTTCTTTGAACATACAAAAAAAAGTATATTGCAAATTATTTTTGATAATTGCACTGACACATTATGCTTATAAATAGGTAGTCTCTGAACCATTTTCATTTAAATTACCGTGCCAGACTCTCATGGGTAGTCAAGGACTTTAAAACCTCTCCTCCTAGTATTATAATTTGTAGAATTTCTTTAACATCTATAATGCAGTGCCATCAATTATAACTAAGTTGTCATGGTTATTCTAACTCTATAAAAAATATATTGAGGGGATTACAATCAGTCAAATAAAAATTCACTATTAATGCATGGGGATCAAATTACAGTAAAACTACACAGTACAGCAGCATCACATTGTTCGATTGGTTTTGAAGTCTTTATATGATGACACTAGAATGTTTTTATTAAATAATTTTATTTTAGTTCAAAAGAATCAGGTTTAAAGCTATGGAATAATTTTAATTTTAATTTGACAAATGTAAAAGTTCAATTTAAAACTTTATCTTGTTAAGAGAATATTAGTACATTAATGGTAATGCTGTAATCTTTAAAAAATGGGGAATGTGTAGTTTAACTATCATGACAATTAACTTGATCAAGGATTTGTATACTATACAAATCCTTAACACGAACAATGAAAAACGTCCATTAAAATGCCCATAAAAAATCTCCAGTTTGGAGGGCTATATATAAACTCCAGCTGAAAATTTTCAAATCTCCAGTTGTGACAAGACAACTCTGTCACATGTATGCTAATAGTATTTATCATTCATAACTACTGTCAAAAAATATTTAAGAGCTGAAAATATAATTTTGCTGAGGTGTCATTGTAAAATTTAAATAGGTCCATGTGCATTGACAAAAATGTTGTTACTGGGATTTGGTAGTTAGATGTTTACTATTTTATCTTGTGGTAATGATTATCACGTGATGTTATAAAGGGCAATTTTTTAAAAAAGTGATGACACAAACAAGTTAAATGTTATTCAGACTTGTAAAGTGTTTGCAAATCTTTGTTTGGACACATAAGAAAATTTCCGTGGAAGAAAAGGATAGAGGGGAATTTTTTTTTTTACTTATATTGTTAAATCGTATTGAAAAGACTTTGAACACCTTAAATAAGTAAAACTAAGTTAATATAAGTTGAAATATGAAAAAAATATTTTCAAATAAAATATAAACACACAAATAAAAAAGGGGGGATCCACTCCACAAACGCCTGTGTTTACTCGTACAAAAACGTTGTGATCATTGTTTGGTTGTAAGTATGAATGAAACTGCCTGCACTTCATTGATAAATTGATGCAGATGGACATGAACAAGTGATGTTGCTGCACTGATACATGACGTCATTGCCTTATATTTTCCAGTATCAAGACCTGTCCATGATCTAAAAAATATTAGGCAGTAAGATCAAAAGGAAAATGTACAAATAGCCGATAAAGAAAAATACCTACCTTTTTTCTTGATAAAACATTCTAGTAGCAGTACAGGATCGATTGCATAAGAAAGTAATGGGGCTCCATATGCTTATATTCAGCAACTAAAAAAAAGAAAACAAAGTTGTTTTAATGCTGGAGATCTCATTTTCTTGTAAGCGCTGAACGACCTCACAGTGTATTCTTAATGCAACTTTTCATGCACACATACCCCCTGTACTTCAAAACTTTATCATGTTTATAGGAATGAATGTAAATTGGAATTTATTGATGATACCCTTAACCTACATTGAAATATCGAAACGTCCAGCGGCTGTGAATTATTTCTTAATTCAAATGTATGCATGTATATCATTAGGTTATGGTATAAATCCTTTTAATTTTATTTCAGTGTAAATGATGTAGCAATGGACAGTGAAAATAGTTTTTACTTCACAAATTTTGCCTACTATAAGAATGGATTACTTTTCTTATTAGAGTATATCATACCATTAGCCTATGGAAATCTGATATATTATGATGGGAAAGCATACCACAAACAATACGATGGATTTGTGACTATAAATGGTCTGATGCTATCACATGATCAAAAGTAAGTAAAATTTTTTTTAATTTTGTTGATAATATATACAGTGAAATCTGTTTGAAGATACAATTAAAGGGAGAGCAAAATAAATGGTTTCATAAGACAGGTGGTCTTTTAATACCGTGAGTGTGGTTCAATTTATATGAAACGCACTACAGAAGGACCTTAAATTAAGGGTCTTTTAATGCAGCTTTTTGCTTAATACAGGTGGTCTATTAGGCAGGTTTGACTGTTGTTTTGTACTAGATAAACATTAATCAAGTGAAGTAACTGCATTAATTAAGGGAACGCTTTTTGTCTACTTCAAACCATCATATTAATATTTTGATATGATTTCATTTAGATGTTGATTTGTACTTGTGAACCAAGTCAGAAAAATGTTCTGTAGTTATAAATGCCATCTGTAAGATGTTTAGTTTGCTCTGTTACTATGGAAGGTCAATTATATAACGTGTTGTTTTTATTTTTTATTTGGTCTAAAGAATCCTTTATGGTGTTCATTTCCATCTCACAGGTGTCAAATGACCTTGACAACATTTTCCATTGTTTAATTATGAAATATTAGTTTCTATGTAAGTTAATGACCATGAAATCAGAGATTTTCTACATATTATTCAGTCATTACCAATAAAGCTGGCCTGAGGGATATTACATACCTCAGGTAGAATTTTTTACGTGACGTGACATAATGCAGATTAGGGTTTGATAAAGCATTTGAAACTGTGACTGATATTAATATCATCACGGATGGCTTATACAGCACGATTGTCATTGATTTTATTACACATAAAATTTACTTGTATTTTTAATTAATATATCATTAAAGCATATATCATGAATTTTTAGTTTACTGAAGGTAGATTAACAGTAACACACTAAGAAATTCCAGCAAACTAGGAAAATACTGCTTTTATTTTATTACATTGTATTAGAACATAGGTGCACTGAATCTATGCTAAGTTGGTCCTTTTTTAAATTATCCGTTGATAAATTTAGAAATTATAAAGAAACAAAGGTTCCAATTGACCTTAGACAGATATGGTTATTACTTAAGGCCCCATTAGGTGTATAGCTTTCAATTAGTGTTGTTTATTATTTCATATTTTTGGCGATGAGCGTTCCTGATGAAGGTAAATCTAGAAAAGTGCTTCGGGCACATAAAATTGATTAAGTGTTATTTTCATTTTGTCAGCTCTCACTTGTAGTACCAGTGGTTACAGGTTTGATCCATTTTAGTGCATCTGAAATATTAAATCTAGTTCTACTTAAAAATACGGACAAATAACTGTTGCAATTTTAGATTTATGTGTAGAATGCATCACTAAAAAGAAGTTTGTTCCATGTCTTGAAAACACTACAGTCATACCCAAATACCTTTTACTCCTTTTTGCATAAATTTTAGTCTGTCTTCAGACATTTGAAAATTTACTGTACTTTTCCTAATTTGTCTTTCTTTTTCAGGTATCTGTACACGGGAGAAACAATCCCTCAGAAATTTCATTCTTTTACAAGACAGAAAAATGGAACACTTAGTAGATACCAGGTACTTGATTTTTTTCAGATTTGTCACATGATCACTGATTTATTTGAATTGACTGTAAATGCAGAAATTATTGCGAGGTTTTTAATAATGTGAATAATACAACTGGGTGAGTATCGCAATAATTAGAACACACATTCTGATATTGGATGCATATACATGTATATGTATGCAGATGTTTTTGAAATCGCAAAATTTAACAATTTTTGTCCATTCTTCAAAAATCGCCATGATAAATGCACACAATAATTTTTGAATTTACAGTAATGATATTATGGACTGTTTGTCAGCTTTGAGTTGGACAACATTTTAAATATGAATGATTTCATTGCATGGTTTGACAAAAATTTCATTTTCTAGGATTTTATTCATATTTGGTGCAAGAAGTCATATTTCTGTAGGAAAAAAACTGTAATTAGAATAAATAGATTTAGTAGATACCAGGTATTTGATTCTTTTCAGATTGGTCACATGGTCACTGAGTTATTTGAATATACTGTAAATTCAGAAATGATTGCGAAGTTTTTAATGATGTGACAATTTTTATCTCAGTTGCCCTCAACAGTTCTTGTAACATTCTGTTGTCTTCACAGGGTGTTTTAACTTTTGAAACCACATGGTTAGTTAGAACCAATTTTTGTCGAAACCTGTAGTGTTTGGAGTTTTAAAATTGCATTTGGTCTTTCTCCAACAACCAATATGACCTTCATTTCTGAAAGTTAGAAAAAACGATAACAAAAAATGAGTTTTAAAAAATTTAAAAAGGTAGTACAAATGTATAGCTTTCAAACTTGGCAAATTATACATTGATGGTTCATTTTATTAGAAACTATAGTAAATGACAAAACACCATAAAAAATGACCACAACTGTTACTGAAAAATAAATTAACAAATATTTCAATAAAAAAAAAACATTCTGAAAATCATGTAACTGTCAGTTTTTCAATATTTTTGCAAAATGACATAGATTAAAAAGTAATCATTGGTTGATGATTCCAATGCCTGTCATATATGTGTGTTCCACTCTTATCTGAAAACAAACCAAGTTGATGTCAAATTTAATGAAATTATTTGGAAAACCATTTAGTCCTAAAGACTTCTTTTTACCTGTCTTTAGTGAAATGATACACAAATCAATTTATGAATTCTGTTTACACCCTAACCACCATTGAACATGGCTGTCACATCAGTACAAACAAAAAACCAAATGAAATATTCTGAAAAATCCAATTTAGGTCCAATTGCTTCATTCGATGTATAATGTTTACCTGTCTGTGCATCCCCCTGTCCATCCTGTATCAGATTAAAGTTTTGGTTTAAGGTATTTTGATATAGTCACAGCAACTTGAAACTTATAGAACATATGTTCATATTGAAATGAACTATTTAATTTAGATGTCAAGTTACTGTTTTGACACAGATTTTGTGGTTCACTGAACATGGAAATGTGATAATACGAGTGGGGTTCCTATGGACACTTATTCTTGTTTTAAAAAGATATTAAGATAATGAAAATGAATCAATTTTATGTGTCTTAAATAAATGCTTGTTTTTTTTTCTGGAATATATATTGATAAATGTTTTCTTTTTTAGGAATTTAATGTAAAAACAGCAATAGACAACCCAACTTTAGATAAAGATGGTAATGTTCTAGTTGGTTCTCACCCAATACTATGGCAACTTATGGGACATTTTGATAATCCAGAAACACCAGCTCCTTCACAGGTAATGTTTAATGTGTGGAAGGTTCAATGAAATACTTTTTATACGCTCGTTTACAGGACGTGTTATGGTATACCGTCTGTCCGTCTGTCCGTCCGTCGTCAACATGTCGGACAATAACTCAAAACTCTTTAAACAATTTGCATGAAACTTTGGTGAATTGTTTATATCTATTGAAGTAAGCTCCCTTTCAATTTTTATAAATTTTAGATTTTCCGAGTTGTGGGATTTTATTCAATAAAAATGGTGATTTTCCAGTTTTGGACAATAACTCAAAAGTGCTTTGAGCAGTTTTCATGAAACTTTGGTGACTGGTTTATATCTATTAGAATAACATCCCTTATGTTTTTTTATGAATTTCTGATATGACATTGAGGAGTTATGGAATTCTATTCATTGAAAAAGGGACGGGCGTATAATGCGCTCATGGCGCAGCTCTTTATTTTAAAATATCTGGATATCACATAAGGCTAATGTACATGAAAAATCTGGACACATCTAAATGGTTTTTCATGTTCAGATAATACGTTGATGTGAATTAAAGGGGAAGCAATGCAAACATCAATCAGACAATAACCAAAGAATTCAAAATACCAAAATACAACATACAGTCTAAAATCTTAGTCAAGCATCTTTATAAGACCAACTCTTAGTTGCCAAAATTTTAGACAAGTAATGATTTAATATCTACATCATTACAAAAAACCCAACAATTTTTACACAAGAAAATCACAGACTATTTACCATGTGTACAAACAAGAACATTTCAATTATTTTAAAAATCTAGGAATTCATTGTTTAATCACTTTCTTGGTTACGATCATGTTTAAACATTGCTGGTATTTCAGAATCGTCCAAGTATGTCATCCATATTCTTTCAATATACAGTAATTGTCAGTTGACTCCTTATAGGAGGTATTGTCCTTAAATTACGATTTTTTATCCTGCCAAATTGATTAATGATTTTAAATTTCATGTTTTGCCAAGTGAGGGGTTAAGGCTCTTCAGAGCCTCTAGTTAATTGATGCCTTATGTACACAATACTGATTCATCCAAGTAATGATTTATTATTTCCAGGTTATTAAACTTCACATGAAAGATGGAATGGTGACCAAGATGACAGAAGTTTTCAGTGATGATGGTCATACATTGTATAGATCATCAGTGGCCTCCTTGTATAAGGATGCCATGCTGGTAGGAACAGTACTCCACAAGTTGATGTATTGTGAAGTACGTTGGATTGATTGATTGTGATGCTTGATTTAAACATGACTTAAAAGTAGTCCCACTGTGTGGAACATGTTCATGAAGATAATTTAAAAATCACATTTTCAAACTAAAACATGTATTATTTGTGAAACCATAAAATGAAGTATAGGACATGATTTAATCAAACTGAGAACATCTTCTTATATATGTAATATATTTTGAAATATCACATTCCTAAAAGAGTTATATCTGGAAATCGTTGCTGATCTTTTATTAAGGTTAGCAGCTGTCGTTTGAATACTGTGTGAAATACAAGTTTACACTTTGTTTTTAAGTTTAATCTTGTTATTGGCTAGTTTAACCTTTGTATTATGAACAAACTAGAACTAACATTACTTTTTTTGCTTGTTATATAATTGGTTGTTCAGCTTTGAACATTAACTCTTACTATACAGGCCCTATTTGAAGGGTTGAGTACCATTTTGAGTTTTATGCCTCCCATATGGATGTGCAGTTTTAGAGGGTAGCTTGTTTAGTTTTCAAAGAAGCGTTCGTTATTTCTGATGATTTTCAGCAATGTGATAACTTTTAAACATAGGCTACCAGGAAATGACATTTTGAAGGACTGGATTGTTCTTTTTTTTGAGTCACATGAAAAGTGATGTAGAAGTCTGGAATATTTTACTAGATTTGGTGTTTCGAGCACAAATTTTGTACTTTGAGGACTGAGTAAAGTTTTATGACCGAGAGCCCAGGTCTACTAATAATCGTGAAAACTCCTAATTTTGGCAATTTTTTTACTGCATAGATGTTTCAAAGCAAGTGCAACAGTGGAATAATGAAGTTTATAATCAGGTCATGTTAACAGAAACCATATTTGATGGGTTGACCTCTTTGGTAGCTGCATCTCACTTCAAGGTATATTTGAATGATAATGAATCACTTTAGGTTAGAATTTGGTTGCAGTATTGAGTGATCATTATATTTTTTTCATGTAAAAGTTTACCATATTAATTTGCTCTTGTATTTATTCTTAAGGTTAGAAATTCTATGAAAATGTTGTGCTCCCCTACAATGTTAGATGGGCATTATGTTTTCCAGTCTGTCTGATATTCTGTCGTCCTTTCAATCAGTCATCCCATATCAGGATAAAGTTGTGGTTTAAGGTAGGTAAAAGTTTTGGCAGTTTGTGGTCACATCGGCATGAAACTTGAGACGCATGTTCATTATGAAGTAAAATATTTAATATATTTCTCAAATTGTTTTTTTTTTATGGCTCACTGAACATGGAAATGTGATATGTTTTGATTTAAAGGTAGGCTAAGATTTTGGTTGAGAGTAGTGTGGTCACATCAACTGGAAACTTGGTTCACATGTTTATTATGAAATTAACTATTTGATAAATATGCCAAATTGGGAGGTTTGACCAAGATTTCATGGTTTACTGAACACGAAAATAATGTAGTGTGAGTGGATCATGGTGTCCTATAGGCACATATTCTTGTATCAGTGCTTGTTTTTCTTTTTTTTTTATTTACGAACAATTTTTTTTAGATATTTTTAGATTTAATCAATTTACATATGTTGTAGTATACAAGTTTTTGATTTTGTGCTGAATGCTTAGACATCCATTGCATATTCTGATGTCTAATTAAGTACATCCCATATAGCAATTTATCTATTTTATGTAAATATTTTTATTATGTATAAAACTTCTATAAGAGACCATTTGCACCAACAAAGAATTTAATTTTGGGTAAGAACAAACAATGAAACCTTAGGATGGCCGTAGCAGGCTGGTTGAAGAAATCAGTTTACTACAACTGAATGATTGGTAACCTAAAAGATTGTTAAACTTTAAAAGAATATTGTATTACAAATAACTCAAAACATACAAAAATAAAAATTACGAAAAACATAAGCCTTGGATGCAATTTGCAATAAATATTTTATTTTGCAGCAAATTGCCAGAGGTTAAATTCTCTAAATGTTTTGTTTCTTGCAATGTTAGTGATTGTTAGCATTTAATGACTTGAAAAGCGAATACTAAGGGAAAAATTGCATTGTAAAGGCAAATTGTTTTTAACATGGAAGTAGAAGTAATTTATGGTTTATCCACATATTTGGCCTGTTGACTTTACAAGCTGTGCTGTTCTATATAAATTTGAAATAAATACTAAATGAAAAATGCAAAAAGGCTTAATTTTTGTAGTTATATACGCGTAATCGCTTATCATGGCTTAAGCTGAGGGATACAATCAAGTCCCGCACGAAGACGAGATTACCTCATTGTAACCATTGGCTAACATGGATGTATCCTGATTTTTGTGGCATAATTTTCTCGCTATTATTTTTCTTGACAGATGCTTATTTCATTTGTATAGTACCCTGGTAATACATTAAAAGCTTTTTAATAGATTTATAGCAACTTTTTATGAGTTTTTATACTACTTTTTGATCATCAAATTATTTTCCAAACTGTTTGTGATTATAAAAATTGCCATGACTAAAGTGATTATTTTCCTTTGTGTATTTTTTAGATTTTACTATTTTTGTTTTAGCAATAATTCAGGGTTGTTATATGAGTGAATACATTTAGTTAAATCCAATTATTTAAACATGATTGTTATGATATATGATGAAATTTATATAGGAATACATATAAATTTGAAAAAAGCATTATTGTTTTTACTGTCTTTTAGTACCAAAATCAAAAGTCTAGCCAACTGTCTCTAAGAATTGTCTGAGAAAATATTGCCCCATTTAAACAAAAGACAGTTATTTTCACATGACTAAGATCTCCTTCACACTGCAGTAGTTTGATTAAGTTTTCAGGATAATGATAAGCAGGACAGATTGTCAAAATTTGATAAGTACTTTTCTTATTTATATGTCCATATGAATCTAACCCATTCATATGACCTTGGATATCATGTTCATGCTCAGAAGTCCAGTTGTTTTTTTAGGATTAGGTAGCCTCTTCAGTATACATGCAAGACAACTTTATGAGATTTGTTATAGTTCGTATATGTCCATCTGAATCTTGATATATTTCACATGTCACCGTTGTTAAACGCCCCCATAGTAGTAGTAGGTTACGTTTTCAGGACTAAGTCAACCCCAATGGTTGACTGGTATAGAAAAATGTTCCCCTGGACTTTCTCTTTCCGATAGTTAAACCTTTGCTAAGGTTGGGGTCCATTTGTTTGTGTGGGATGTATAAGGTAGCAATACACAGTTAGTTTAGTTTCACATTTTAGCCATGGTGAATTTTTTAAATATGAAAGTTTTTGTGCAATAAAATTGATTTTTAGAGAGCTGAAGAATTATATAGCCTTCACAATGGGTTTTTATGAACATCAAGATTGTTTTTTGCATGTTTTATAGGCCACTTTTCTGTTTGACACTCCAAATTTTCACAATGAGGTGAAATGCATATGATTTTTATTTGACCTCTTGATAGATAAATATCAATAATTTCAGAAAAGGTATCACTCTAATGGATGGAAATTTTTCTTTTGACCAAATTTTGGGGACTTTTGTGACAATTTCACCCCCCTTTTTGCAATATTTTGTATCAAATAAATGCAAATTGATGCCATGGTTACACCAAAAAGAGATTATATTTCACCATTTTAACTATTGGAAATCAAATCTATGAAGATGCCGTTTCCATACATATATAAAAAGAATATGTGGTATGATTGCCAATGAGACAACTCTCCACGAGAGACCAAATGAAACAGAAATGAACAACTATAGGTCACTGTACGGCCTTCAACAATGAGCAAAGCCCATGCCGCATAGTCAGTTATGAAAGGTCCCGAAATGACAAATGTAAAACAATTCAAACGAGAAAACTAAGGGCCTAATTTATGTACAAAATAATGAACAAAAAACAAATATGTTACACAGCAACAAACGACAACCACTGAATTACAGGCTCCTGACTTGGGAAAGGCACATACAGAATGTGCCGGGTTAAACTTGTTTGAAGGCGCCAACCCTCCCCTAACCTGGGACAGTGATGTTGCAGTACAACATAAGAACAAACTATAAAAATCAGTTGAAAAAGTCTTAACTCATCAGATTGATACAAATAGAAATACATCTATGTGGGCGTGGCAGGGTACTTATACATCCATACAACAAAAAGACACTAATTACAGATGTGAGAGTACTCGTTGTTACTGACAGCTAGTTCTCCACGCCAATAACAACTTATAAAACAAATCATGCATCTAAGACTAAAATATCAATCAGAACACATCAACATCGAATGGATTTAGTGTAAAGACGTCATTAACATTCAGAGAAAAACATGACCTTGTGCAATGCCAAGATACAGGTATGCACATAGATAACAAACATTAAACCTTATTTGTTAGAAAGGAAGGGAAAAAGGTGGATAAAAATTATGTCAATTTTAAGTTTCGGTAGTAAAACCCTTGCAAAAGTTGGGTATTCGTTTGGCTGTATGGGATGTATCGTTAAATCCGATGAGGGAGTGCTGTGTCTAAAGAACCCTTACAAGAACTCTGAGGGTCTGTTGGTGGCCTGTTGAAATGGTCTAAAGTTCTACAACTACTCAACATACTTAATAACGGCATTCAACGTTTCCCACCCTTTATTCCGGTCAGCATACTTTGCAGAACTGACCTATATATCGTAACAATTGTTTATTACTCTTGCTGAAGTTTGGCGTCCGTTTGACTATGCAGAATGTATAAGTACGCGGTCATGTCCGACTGGAATTGTGACGTTAAATCCGACGCCGCATGTAGAGAGATTGCAACACTCTCTGTACGTTAATGAACTATTGTAACAACACTTTCGAGAGTCCCGTAGGTGTTCTATTGCAAGGCTAAAGCTCCGTCCCCTATTCAACATACCCTCATTTTCACTGATACTCTGGGTCAACTTGTTTTCCCGCCCTTCATTCGGTCACCTACCTACCTATCGTAATAGTTGTTAATTTGTGCTTGTCCTGAATATGCATGAATTATTTGTCACTGGACGTTAAGCAATCAAGAATCAATCAATTAGGATAAGGTCTGTTCCTCAGTGCATTCATGATGAGTCATGTGGAAACATTGTAATATGTCCGTCTGACAAGTCTTATGGGCTTGGCCATATTTTCAAGCTGCATTGGCTAAGTCAATTTTCAGGAATTGACAAGAGACATATACTTACTCTTAGTTTTCTAATAATGGCCTATTCTTCACATAAGAAATAGAACAAGTCGGTCAGATTTGGTATGTAAATTTGCCGTATAACTGAGGACTATCTGTACACCCCGAGTCTGACATATGTTATAATAACCCATTTTCATGCGTCCAAAGATCTTTTTCTTAGTGTCTATGCGTGATAGGACGAATCATTTAGTAGTGGGATTGACTAAAAGATAAAAAAAAAATATAACATGTCTCTGGTTGTAATAATTGAATGTCTCATTTTCATTGTAGAGTTGTACAATACCATTTTATAGTTTATATATCTCACACTTAAACGTTGCAAGTTAATAAACTTTTGTATTGGAAAGTTGCCCCTTTCTGACTGAAGTTCCATATTTAGCCTTGACCTCAGTTTTGATGCTTTACAGTGGTCCGATTGAATTACAATATTAATTGTTGGAAATTACCTAATAGGTTGACAATAATTGCGATGTGAATTCGTTAAAAAGGGAGGTGCGGACAGCAGAGACTTAAATTAGTATAGATAGCATCTATATCTTTGGCGACTAGTTTCACCGAATTTATGGTTACCACTAAAACTCAATAACTATGACAAACAGCCATCATGAGAGCCCCACATCACCAACATAAGAGCTATTACAGTATCCTGTCCACTTGAGACATAGTAAAACCATTATAGTTCCTTATGTCCACCAGTCTTAGCATATGAAAATTAGCGTGACTCTAATTCCTACTTACATCAAACGGCAAGAATTGGATGCAAGCAAATACTTTCTTTGACGTTATGTACAAAAACAACATCAGAGAAGTATGAAAAAACATGGTAATAAGAGTTGTTTCCCTTTTAGAATGACAGTAATAGGGTCTTTGTACTAGGAAACAAAAACTCACGCAAGCGAGAAATACAGAGTTATTTCCCTTAACTGGTTGGTATTTGGCATAATTCATAATTCCTTTATAAAGAAATGCTTCGTAATCGGATTTGAAGCTTAAAATAACTTAATACATAGAGTGTAAGTTAAGTAGGCCGTACGATGACCTATAGCTGTTAACTTCTACGTCATTAACTTTGTCTCGTATGGAGAGTTGTTTTATTGGCAATCTTACCACATGTTCTTCATGATTTTTATAAGTTAAGTAGTTTTAATGTAATTACGGAGGTGATTTAATAGATAAAGAAAAAATGCTGACCTGGAGATAACAATTATAATTAGTTTCTAGTTAACAATAGTTCCAACAATGGTTAAAATCAATATACATTTCACTGTCTATATTACTTATGAATTACCCATAATGTGACTTATAATGCCCGAATAATATATTGTTATTGTATATTCCTGGTAAACGATATTATTCATACATGAATGACTTGTATGTTTATGCAATTGTAATGCTGTATTCTGGATTATTATGTTCTGTGGACAGTTTGTTCCCACGGAATAGGTGATAGTCATTTTCCTTCCTCACAAATATCGCCAGTTAATTCCTTTGGCATTTTTTAAGGTTAATTGGCGTAAATTTTTAAAGAGCTGAGGTACATAGCCATTCAGTGAATCAAATACGGCACCAAAACAAAATGATTAACACACTTAAGACCCCCCTTCTTCCCGAAAAAAGGAAGAAAAAAGAAAAGAAAAATACATAACATAGGCGGATCCAGGTGGGGGGGGGGGGGGAGGCCCGTGCCCCCCTTTTTCGGGAAAAAATTGGATGATTATATAGGGAATCACTGACGCATGTCTGGAGCGGGCCCTCTCTTAGGCAGTC